TCATTATTATTATTTAGTTTTAGTATTTGATTTTTATTTCAAATTTGGTAAAGAATTTGGATGTAACGTTGAGGGAAATGTTGTTAAGTTTATTCTTCTGCAGAACGTATATTGTTTTCTTATTTTTTGGATTTTTTTTAATTTTTTTTTTTTTTATCCGCGTTCGGTCGGCCGAACATATCGAGAGGGAGTGCCGAACGTTCGAGCGTTCGTGTTCGGGCGTTGAGTCCGCCCCGAACGCCTGCAACCCTGATTGAGAGTACTAGGGAGACTATGTCAAGTGGACGGGGTTCCCCGACATCAAATTTCTTGAAGTATGCAATTATTTTGTTTGCTTATCTTATTCTCATAGTAGACCTATATTGATCGATTTTATTGTTAATTTTTTTTTTCAGGTAGTTGGAGTCAAAGCCTGCGTCGAATCCCTGAAAGTTGTTGATGAGGTCATTTTTCTAAATAAGACTACAATTGTGAAAGATAGTGATGGTTTAATTTCTTTTATGATATATATACTAGTCTACCTGTTGGTCTGTCCGGGTTACCTTATTTTCCCAGGCGGCAGAAAGGTCCGAGGAAAAAAAAAAAAAAAAAAAAAAAAAAAACTATATGTTATGCAGAAAAGTAAATTGGACAATTTTTGCCTCAGGGTTACATAGAAATTTCTGACTAAATTTTATAATAAAAATGAAAGCTAAATTTTATTTTTTATTTTTTATTTTAATTTTTGTTTTCACGTGGCTGGGCAGTGGTCTCGAACCATTCTGGTAGCGTCACATATATATATATATTATGTAAAAACTTAATAACTTGGTAAATTAATTGGTCAAATAACCAATTTTTTTCAAATAGAGAGTTTAACGTTTCATTCATTTATGCATTTTTTCCTCTTGTAATAAAAAATTGAACTTATTTTTCATACCATATAAAGTTAACGTTGTCAGTTGATTGCTTGATTGATTACGAGAATGACTATCTTTCGTAAGAAAATCCAACTTCCAAGAACTTTCATATTTGTAACTTTCTTGCCCTTTAACTTTTTTTTTTTCCGTAGTATTATGGTCTTTAACTTCACATGATGTCGGTTTTTTATACTCCTCTTGACAAACTTTACATTATTACTTTTTTATATACGATTTTGTTTCTCACCGTACTTTATCCCCGTTCCATACCAATCCCCAACAGGATTTATCATTTTTTTCCCTCCTCCTGCCAGACTAGTTAAACATAGTTTCTCATATTTCTAAATCCTTCCAAAAGTCAATTCAACGTAGTTCCTTATTTCCTATCTCTAACCTCTTCTTCCCCATTTCCTTTGGAATCAATCTTATGCCGCATTCCTCCTCTCCACACCTCCCAATCCAATTTCATGTCGGCTTCCTTTTCTAACATTTCATATCGTTTCTTATACTCATTTACCCCCTTTGAAAATTAATCCTATTTATTTTTTCTCGTCTTCACGCTTCTCTCAAATCAATCAAACATAACTTAGTTTTTGTCTTTCATGACCTAGTTTACGAGTATAGAGGTATTTCAACATTTCATATATTCTATATCTTCCAACTTCATTTAATTTTTAATCATAAAAATCGTATAGGAAAACGCATCTTAAAAAATATACTAAAAGATTTTCAACAAATGTGTATATGTTTTGAAATTCTCTTTAAGACTACTCATATGTCATACTTGTATCTCAAGTTTCACAAAACTCTCCATTATCCTAAAACTTGCACTGCCATTTTTTAACATATATCTAGCAACAGGGTTGTTAGCATTCAGGACGGACCGAAAGCCCGAACGTTTGACGCCCCCTCTCGATGAGATCGACCGAACGCGGACCCAAAAAAATAAAAAATAATTCTAAAAAATATATTTAAAAAAAAAATGTAAAATACTCCCACAAGTTGAGATATGTGTCAAAATGGCTCTAGAAGATGTGGGTAAAGCGGAATATCCCTCTGACAAAAGAAATAGTTTGTGAAATGCCCCTACCATCAATTGAAATTCCATCTTTGCAATATACTCCTACTGGGTACCGTCCAACTTTGCAAAATGCCCCAATACTTGCCAACTTTACCTATGCGCTCTTGCAAAAGACCAAGGACCAAACGGGGTGGTTCAAATTGCAAAGTTGGACACCCGCCTGACAGGGGCACAACACAAAGATTTCGGCCCAAAAGGGCATTCCGATCTACCCACTTCTTTCAAGGGCATTTTGACATATATCTCAACTTTTGGGGGTATTTTGCATAATTATATTTAAAAAAAAAAGTTATGCCGAAGAATAAACAAAAGAACATTCACCTCAACGTTACATCCAAATTTATTACCAAATTTGAAATATAAATCAAATACTACAAATAAATAATACTAATAAAAATTAAAAAAAAAAAAGAATAAGAATAATAAAAATTAAAAAAAAAAACGAATAATAATAATAATAATTAAAAAAATAAAACGATAATGAAATTATTGAGTGGGCGAGCACGATTTTGACGCCGCCGTCTTTGGCGATTTTTTTTTTTTTTTGGTTGTGACAAATGCTATAAAATTTATATATGTTTATCTTACATAATATGAAATTTACAAATGAAGTTTGAAAAAATAATAATTTGTTCACGCCTTGAAATAAAGAAAAAAAAAAAAACGAAAATAGAAAAAAAATAGATTAGTGAGTGGGCAAACAAGTTTTGACACCACCATCTTTGTCGATTTTTTTTTTTTTTTTTTGGCTCAACGGAATACCTTTTAAATTATCAGGGAGATACCTTGCATCACAAAGAACTTAAAAAAAAAAACTCAAAGAGAAGTAATGATGTTTAGGTGTCAAAAATAATTTTTTTTCGGGGTTCGAACCCCTTAAGGTTCAAGCCCCGTACGGAGAGCCGAACTCCCGAACGTTCAGGGGTGAGCTTAGGGGGTCTCCGTACGTTCGGCCTGACAACCCTGTCTAACGATAATTTATTCCCCAGGCTTAGTAATGCAAAAAAAAAAAGAACTTGCGTATAAAATAAGTATTTCAAACCATAAATTAAAAATCATTTTTTACACTATTGTTTGAAAAACATAAGTAACTAAAATACCTAACAAACAAAAATTTTGATGCGCAAATGAAGTTAATTGAGGCAAATTTTATATGGTTCAACCAATTCAAACTTATTCAGAATTTTGAAATAAAAGTAAAAAAAAAAAAACATCTTGGACTTAAGTTATCATAGTATAATAAAATTATATTTTAAATTAAAACTTTTAATCCGATCTTAAAAAAAGTCATTCAATTTTATTTAATTTTCGATCTTACTTGAAAACTTTCATTTCAATAATGGGGTGTCCCTTCTTATTTGAACTGCATACTATAGATGTAATGAGAGTCTGGCTGAGTTCATGAAATATTTTAATTGAACTGTCATTATATATAAAAAAAATAAATCATAAATAAGCTCATCAAATTTAAATTAAAAAATATTTATCGTAGTAGAATGAAAGTTAATTAAAACATTTCATAAAGTCGTCAAGACTTTCGTTTCATCTTCAACTAATAGATGTAGTTGGAAGAAAAAAATCGTTTTTATAAGGAAACTTGTGAAATAAAATTGAACATTTTAAAATTGGATGAGCATTAGAATGATAATTTTCAAATATGATTTTTATTTTTTTTTTGATTTTTTTTTTTGAATTTTATTTATTGTGGGAATTTTTATGTTTGATATATAAAAATGAGGGCAACTGAATTTCGTCACCAATGCTTCAACCACTTCAAACACATTCAAAACTTTTATGCCAAAATATGCATGAGGGTAGTTGATATTTGTTTTGAATGCATCAACTACTTAAGACTCATTCTAAAATTATATATCAATGTCTGAAATATGCATGTTGAAATTAATTTCCAATAGTTTAAGCACTTGAACGTCATTTAGGAGTTTCGAAAAGAAGTTGGATGCACATATTAGGTTAGTTGAAACATGTCTCATATGCTTAAGTCAATTCAAACTCGTTCAGAATGTCTAAATTAAACTAGGATACATGCATGAACTGGTCTCTTATGCTTCGGTCACTTCAAACTTATTAAAAAAAAATATATGAAAATATGCATGAATGCCGTTGAAATTGATCTTGAATGCTTCAATTACCTTGGACTCATTGAAAATTTTATATCTATGTCTTCTACATGTGTGAAGACGGTTTAAATTAATGTCAAACGACTTAGTCACATGAATCTCATTTATAAGTTTAAGAGCAAAATATGATACGTGCATTTGGGCAGTTGAAACCAATTTCAAATCATTTACCTAATGCAACACCGCTATATTAATTCATATTAAAGTATAATCTGTGGGGGCACATAAATATTTTTCGATTTTTCAACCATTTTAGATATACATTAAAAGATTTCTAAGTAATGTATAGTTTATACATCAGGTGAACTAAAATGAAGGGTCATTTTCTCAAAGTTGGACGGGTTTTCAGTAGCGTTTTTTAGGCATAAATTTTCGGTAGGAACATTCTGGATGAGATTTTCGGGTTGGCTGTTTTTTTTTTTTTTTTTTTTTTCAGTTACGGAAGGTACCAGACTGTTCTGGTTGGAACTTTCCGGTTGGGACCCTTGAGTTGACAAAGGATGTAGAGCGCGCTAAAGTTGTACGGGGTCTTTGGTACCAGGATTTGGGACGCGTACCATAGACTTTGTGCCCTTTTTTTTTAAGTTGCGCCAACATAAATTGTGAGAGCGCGGCGGTCTGACTCCCTTCGCACTCAGAGTGCGAGGGGTCAGTAGCGGACTAGTTTGGCGGCGAGTCTGGAGAGATGCGGGTTGGTTGGGTGGTGTCCGCACTGACAATCATTGTGTACTTCACGTTGTTGTCACGAGCTTTTGGCTACGGGCGATATATACATACGAATTTAAAGATTGCTTGTTACAGCCTTGTGCTGTCTCGTCGTATTGTGCATCTGCATGTACTTCATGTTTCAATCATGTCTATGCGTAACTTGGTCCCGTAACCTGCTAGAAGAATAACCTAGAGAGGGTGGCGGAAGGAATTTGGGGGGGGAGGAGCAGAGACCTAGTTGATCTTTTGGGGGACACGTGGTTCCTGTTCTATAACTTGAGAAACGGAGCAGTCAAAATGAGCGTATCGAGTGGTTCCGGCGGGGCGACTGGATCGGGAGGGAATTTTGGTCAAGGTACAAGATTTCACCCGATGCTCGGGAAGAAGTGTTATATGTGCGGCGAAGCGGATCATTTTGCTAGTGTGTGTGAAGAGTACCACGATGCCAAGGCACGAGGAGTAACCTTCGTTCCACCACCTCCACGACCAAGACTAGGGAGGACGCAAAGCGTGCATGGGGAGAATCCTCGAAGCCTATCTGCTGATAGTTTGGGGGCAAGGAGTGGATCCACACGTACGGAGCGACTGATGAGGGAATATTTTTTGGAGCTCGCTGAAGAACGCCGTACTAAGAAGGACCAAGAAGCAAAGGAGCTGGAAGAGAGAAAACAAGAGGAAGCGAGACTGGAACGCGAGCGCAAGAGGCTTGAAAGAATGGAAGAGCGGAAGCGGTATGAAGATGAGCGGGATGCCCGCCTACTCAGATTAGTTCGCGGAGTGTGGGGCGGAGGCGCTGTGGCTGAGAACAAAATGGAACGAAAGAAGGTGAAGGTAAATGAGAAAGGAGAAACGGTTGAGGAGGAGAAGGAAAGATTGCGACGGGAAATCACGATGCAAATGATTTCAGAGGACGAAGAAGACACCGAACTGTTGCTTTTGAGAAGACGAGCGGCGAGAATCAATATTCACGATAAGAGGAGACGGGAACCGGTTGACAAGTTGGAAGGTAGCCCACCGGCTATGACACCATCGAAAGGTCAGAGAGTGGGCCTGATGAGTGATGCGCGAAGGAGTAAGATGCAATTGGGTTCGGAAGCAAAAAAGCGGATAAACGAGATCCGAAACTATGAGGCCGGACACGCAGCATCCGGATCTAGTATTCTGAAGCTCGTAGGGCAGCTGTCGTTGAGCTTGAAGCATGTGACGGCGAGATGCGCACCTGGCGACCGGGAGAAATACGAAGAAGAATGCCGAGACCTGTTCGAAGCATTGACGATTGACGAACTCAAGGAGGTATGTAAGAATGAGAAAATTAGCTACACTAAATGTGACATTGCGATCAAACGATTGGTAACCCGGCGGCTGTTGAAAGCGTATGATTCGATAAATGTGCCACTGCCTGTGTCACCACGTGGAGCACCGGAAGTGCCGAGAGTGGCCCGGTTCTCACGACCGAAACCGATCGCGAAAGTAGTCGGGGAAGCAAGCGAGACAGAAGAGGAGGAGGATGTTTCGGGGTCAGAATGAGAAGTTTGGCGAGTGTGGAGGGATATCAACGAACTCCGAAGCCTGAGATCGACAGAAGGATGTAATCGCGACGTATACGAGGCATTTACTCGGTCAAAAATTATTGAACTTGCTTTATATGGTGAAATTTCGTGGTGTGTGAAGTTTCTGGAATATTGGAGGGATGGTAGCGATAAGGGAGTCCTTGATTTAGGAACACCTGAAGGCTGTGTGTATGCATTGGTTTCACCTTGGTTTAAACAGACATACATTGGGAGGACCGAATGGAAGTTGAGTGTGAGATGGAAAAAACACGTAAACGGCGGCTTAAAGGGAAGTTGTGGAGATGTGGGACGAAGAAATTTGTACCAGTGGTTGAAAAAGTGGGGGTGGAACAGTACGTGGTTGTTCCTCTGATCTTCAACTCAGATCGAACGGAACTCGAAGCCATTGAGCGATCGCTGATTCGTACATGGTCACCATCGTTGAACACGAAACTGAAGAAAAAGCGAACGAAGGGGCGATTGAGGCAGGGGAAGAAGGAACGCCGACGTACGGGGAAAAAGACTGACAAGAGCTATCCAGACATGGTAAAGAGAAGGATTGGACAACCTGAGTCCAGATTACTAACGTTAAAAGTTGAGGGACTGAAGGATGAGACTGTATGCATCGTTAAATTGTTACGAAGCCTAGCCAAGGAAGGTAGAGGTAAGAAATTTTGGGTAATAAGTAATGGAGGGAACACCTGGACAAATAATTGGCACGTGGTAAGGAGGTTGTTTGGAGAATCGAGAGTATGTACGGGAAAACGAACAAGACCTCTTAGAAAATGTAAGAGGATGTTCGAACAGGAAGGGCCGTTAAGGATTCGGGGTATTGTCGAAGCATTGCCGACAACTTTGAAGCTAAAACAGGATTTAGTCAAGACGTTCAAATTTCCACAGAAGAGGATTAAACTTAGGCGCCTGCAGATAATCGAGTTAGTACAGTACTATGCGGCAGCGAAGATTTTTTCGATGAAGCGAAGTCGATCGAGGGCGAAGAAAATGGTGACAGATGTCATCAAGAAGAAGTTTGGCTTGAACATGAACCGCAGACTAATTACTAAGGTGAAGTATGATAGTCGGATCAAGAAAGGACAGGTTAGCAGACTGGTAAAAAAGAAGGTCGGAGGGTTACCCCTGGACACTGCTGTTTCGAGAATGGTGATGCAACGCTCACGAGTAGTTTGGACAAGAGGTCCAAATATCGGTGAGATCATCCACAACCATCTCCGCTATGCGGCAAGTGGAGTTGCGAGGTGCAGATGCGCCGATTCGTCCCTTCCGAAGGAACGGGGACATGTCCATTTTCGACTGAGCACGTGGGAGGATTGTTCCGATATTGCTCGGAATGCGAAGAATATTCCTCGCGAATGGAATGCGGATTGTGGGGAAAGACTGAAGGAGGAGATATTATCCTCCATTCGGGGAATCGACTGGTTGAATGTCGATGCTTCGGAGATTTCTGTCACCAATGAAGAGGTAGATGGATGCGTTGACCGAACAACAAACAAGGGCGAAAGAAACCTGAGTCAGACTGTTGACCTGGTAAGGAAACTTGAGGGATTTGTCCGTACACCGATGGACCGGAATCCAGGCGAGACGATGGTCATGCGTGCTGAAGTATACGCCATGGGCCATGGCGATGAGCGACATGTTCATCCGGAATACAGGGTACAAGATCAGACGAGAAGAAGAAGTAGAGATTATCAAGAAGATGCAGGAGGAGTATGTAACTGGTGTTTTTTCCGTGATTGTGAGTTGGAAGAAGGACGGGAAACTTGGGAGAGCTTATGCCATACCAAAGCATAAAGACTCTACCAAGTTTTGACCAATTGCCCCTACCTTTGATGAGCCCGACAATCAAGCGTGTAAGAGGATCTCACAAGGATTGAATTACATGCTTTTTAATTTTCCTGATAATGGTCATTTCAACCTTAAATCTGTTCATTTGATGACCAGGAAACTTGGTAGGATCAACTGATCACTACAGAAAGCATGCACGAATGTCGGAGTGTTGGCGGCTTCCTACGACATAAAAAATATGTTCAGTAGGTTGCCGCATGAGACAATCGTTCGGGCTGTGGATTGGTGTATCTGGTGGCTAAGAACAAAAGGATACGAGGGAGTCTCTGTGAAGAGTCGGGGAAAAGGGAGTAGATTGAGTAAGTGTGTTCTCATAGACGGATACAGGTTTGTGGAATTCTCATTGCTGTTGGAATACGTTCGGTACGACCTGGAAAATTGTTGTACAGTCGTATCAGGAATCAACCTGAAGCAGATCGTGGGAATCCCGATGGGCAAGTCATCGAGTCCTCCCCTTGCATGCCTGATGTGTGCCAAGTCTGAGTGGGATTTCTTGATTACCCTGGGCAGCCAGAAGAGGCTGATATCTGACCTATGTTTTGTAGATGATTCTTCGATCTTCATAGCCTACAATAAGAAGAGCACGAACTCGAAGTTGTGGGCTATGGAGATCCTGATGAAGTATGAGAAGTGCTATGACCTGAATCTGATGCTAAAACAAACTGACGAAGAGAAGACGGACTGAGATTTCTTGGGATGTCGACTGATGGTCAACAAAACATCACCATTCCTGACGTGCTACCAGACAATGAAGAATGAGAAGCAATTGCTGGAGGGTGATGACCTGATGTTCCAGACATTCCAAGACTTCAAGTCTGACACAGGTAAGAGGGAAAAAATGGCAGCAATCGGAAGTTGTTTACATCGCATTCGTCAGAACTCCGATTCGATTTCGGGTATGTTAGCTGCTATCATTGCACAGAGAATGGAATTGCGTAGAAGAAATTACCCTGATGGAATGGTCAGACAAACGCTTCGGAATTTCGCCAGAGATAAAGAGCAAATGTGAAAGGTCATTGCGGAATTGGTTGAGTCGTGAGTCTGGGATTAGATGACCAGAGTCTTTTTCTCACAGTTGGAAGGGTTTTCAGTAGCGTTTTTTAGGCATAAATTTTCGGTAGGAACATTCTGGATGAGATTTTCGGGTTGGTTGTTTTTCTCTTTTTCCTTTTTTCAGTTACGAAAGGTACCAGACTGTTCTGGTTGGAACTTTCCGGTTGGGACCCTTGAGTTGACAAAGGATGTAGAGCGCGCTGAAGTTGTACGGGGTCTTTGGTACCAGGATTTGGGACGGGTACCATAGACTTTGTGCCCTTTTTTTTGACGTTGCGCCAACATAAATTGAGAGAGCGTGGCGGTCTGACTCCCTTCGCACTCAGAGTGCGCGGAGTCAATAGCGGACTAGTTTGGCGGCAAGTCTGGCGAGATGTGGGTTGGTTGGGTGGTGTCCGCACTGACAATCATTGTGTGCTTCACGTTGTTGTCACGAGTTTTTGGCTACGGGCGATATATACATACGAATTTAAAGATTGCTTGTTACAGCCTTGTGTTGTCTCGTCGTATTGTGCATCTACATGTACTTCATGTTTCAATCATGTCTATGCAACTAAAATGAAGTTTAGATCATTTAACTATTTCAAACTCACTCAAAAGTTTCCAATTAATGTATCATCTGTGCATGGAGCCAATTGAAACTGATTTCAGATCGTTCAACCAGTTCAGGTTTATTCAAAAATTATTATCAATATGTATTAATGCATGGGACAAATTGAAATACGTTTCATACCACTTTAAAATCATTTAAAAATTTTAAATAAAAATACATTACATCAGGGTAACCGACGTTCGGGACGGGCCGAACGCCTGAACCCGAACACCCGAACGTATGGAACCCCTTGGGGATGCGTTCGACTGTTCGGGTCAAACGTGGACAAAAAACAAAAAAAATCAGTCATCAAAAAAATCTGAAAAGAAAATATGTTCTGGAGAAAAATAAATTGAACAAGATTTGCTCGAGCATTACATCCGAATTACTTACCAAATTTGAAATAAAAATAAAATATGGAAAACAAATACGAAGAATAAAAATAAATAAAAAGAAAAAGAAAATTAAATTCAGTGAGTGAGCGAGCATGTTTTCGACATCGCCATCTTTGGCGATTTTTTATTTTTTCTTGGCATAGCTAAATGCCCTGAAAATTCACAGATGTGTACTTCACATAATACAAAACCCATTAAAAAAGTTTTAAAAAATAATAAAATTGTTTATACCCCAAACTAAAGTGAAAACAAAAAGTAAAATGTGAAAAAATACTTGGGCGAGCACGTTTTGACACTGCCATCTTTGGCGATTTTTAATTCTTATTTGGCTTAGCCAAATGACTTGAAAATTTACATGCATGTACCTCACGTGATAGAGAACTCAGCGAAAACAATTTGGAAAAAAATAATTATTTTTAGGCTCCAAAATAGTTTTTGGCGGGGGGCGAACGTCGTCGGGTTCGAACCCCGTACGGGACCCCGAACGCCCGTACGTATAGCCCGGGGACCTCCGTACGTACGCGTTGGTGACCCTGCATTACATGATATTTTATTGTTAAAAAAAAAAAAATGCTCATGTATCGACTTATACTGTTTATACTATAATTGTTGCAGTTGTTTTTGCAACTGTTATTGTTGTTTTTTTTCTCTCAAATATCATCACTGGAATGCCAGACAATGAGAGTCAATGACAGATTTGACGTTGAATGCCGATGCTTGTGATTAAGTTGCAGATGCTTAACAATAATTATTGTTGGTTTTGCTATAGTTACTAGTGCTGCTATTTTTTTGTGATTGTACTTATTAGTACTGTTGCTGCTAAATATTTTTTAAATAGTATCAGTTGTTTGCTTATAAATAATTATTTTATAACATATTTTATTACAAATAAAATACAAAACGAAAATAATTAAAAAATTATGAGATACTAAAAATTTGTAAAACTTAATTAATGAATTTGTAATACGGGATAAGTTAGTGATGGGATGTGTACTTAAAATTTATAATATTTTCATCTCCAAATGACATAGGTGAATGATAGTATGTTTTGATTTTTATGGCAGGTGCCTTGATGACAATGGTTGATAACTTTAATATGAATATACAATTATTTTTGCAATTTTAGATAACGAATAGAAAACCAAAGGTTAAACTCCTAAGATTACATTTAAACCATTAGTTCAAAACCTCATTACTGATAAACGTTTCTTTGAAACAATGAACATAGAAAAAGTAAGAAATAAAATCGTAAAAACGAAGATGGGGAATTAAGGTAGGCGAAAGGTTGTGAGACACTTGTATAAAAAATCAAATTATTTATATTAACTTCTTATAATAATATATGGTATGTTACAAAGAGCCAAATAATATATGTCATTACAAAGAGTCAAATAACAAGTTTCTTTTACAAAATACAAGAAGGTTCAAGAGAATGAGGTAAAGCAATTGCAGAACGGGAATCAATATGAATGTCATTAACTACTAAAACAATCTTTTAAACCACTACTATCCTCGCCAGCCTAAGTTCAGTGTTCCTAGCTTTACGGACCATGTTTTTAGGGGAGAGCGTTGACAAGCAGGTGTATGAAGGTCCAGTCCCTCAATTTTCAAGTGCAAATATTGACGATTTTTTCGGGTTTAAAGAATAAATTAAAAAATTACACATTTTAAGATTATGTAAATGAGATTTTGATCTTTCCACAAAAAATATAAGAAAAATAATAATAAAAAAAATTGGACCGTGAAATAAATGTTGCACTTACGGCGACCAACAGATGTAAGAGGATCTCTCCCTAAATTTTTAAATATCAAGCTGGGTGATTTTTCACGCTCAGAAAAATAAATAAAGCTTAAAAAATTGAAATCAATGACTTGAGATTATGATATTTCATTAAAAAAATTATATATTTTTTTTATGGTGAAATGAGCGTCGCACTGATTTCTCACGTTTTTTATTTTTGCCTCATCCACATCACAGCCAACGAAAAAAGTATCAGGACTTCCGTGATTGTTTATACTTAGAAAAATTACTAAAAAAATCTTACTATTGTAAGGTCTATGAATATGATATTCGTCTTGCTAAAAAAAATATTAAAAAAAAAAAAAACTACACCGTAGAATAAATGTTGTTCCGATTCATCTAATTTTTTATTTTTGTCACTCTACCACATGTAGACCAACGAAAAAAGTACCTCAACTTCAACGATTTTTTACGATTGAAAAAATGTGTCATTCTAGGTCCGTTAATTTTGTCGGTGATCTTTTATATATATATATTTTTTACATTTAAGACGTAAAATAAATCTCAGTGATAATTCGCCGCATTTTTTGTTATACTTCATAGGTTTTTCTCACTATGCTATCGATAACCCTCTTTAAAATGTGTCGCCGGTCCTCCCGAATTTAGGATGGTAGGCATAGTGATGGTTTAAGGACTTTCATCCTAATGAGAGTCACGCTTCAGATTTCTTTTCCCATTGTGTTGCTTGTCATAAAAGTGTCATTAATTGAATAACTATAGGCAAACCACTTTGCTCGACTTGCAAATTATGCCCGCTTCTGAATGTGTAGTGCATGAAGTAAGGTTGTCTTACAAACACTCTTCATATGTTATGCCGAATGAATTATTTCCGAGAGCAAACTTTTTATTGCTACAAGTTCGAATTTTTCTCACTTCCCCTTTTGTCCTTACTGATATATAAACTCTTAAATCCAAAGTCACAATAAAAATAACGTTTCTTTTATTGTCATGTGAGAGTCTTAGTATT